GCGCCATGCCCCGCCCCCCTCCCCTAACCTACCGTGCCTACTGACAGGAAGGGCGCAACAAAACTAGAGACCTCCACTCTACTGTTGAGAAACAGCAGCGAAACGTGTGCAACCCCAACTCCAACTCTCAAGGAGGAGCGCTGTGGGACGGAGCGTGCAAGCAGTGGTTTGACCTTTGCCCTTTGAGCGTAAATGACCTCTTTCCTCAACTCAGCGTGCAAAGGATGCAGACTCTGCTTGGATGTTGATACCACAAATGACACAAGCCTGAACCTATTCCACCATGTTGTGGAGTTGCTAATGTGAACAGTTAGCTTCTACTAGCAGAGATGTGCTCTGCTCTCTTCTTTTCATAAGTCAACTCAAGCCAAGGTGGGCAGGGCCATTAATACTAATTCCCGCAGTGATGTAGAAGTATCTGTTTTCATCTAATGTCTTTTCTGTGGCTAATGCAGGAGATGGGTCTGAAGAACATTTTCAATTTCAGCCTACATATGCAGCTCAGAGTGGCCGATCATGTTTAATAACAAAACTAGTTATTTGCCGTTTTCAGCACACATGACCTGCAAAACGATCATGAAGCCAGTCTCAAAAAGAGTAAATGTGCATCTTTAAGGATGATTAAATAATTATGGTTAAACTAAAACATGGGCTGCATTGTGGTGCAGTTGTTAGCACTGTTGCCTCGCAGCAAGAAGGTTGCAAGTTCGAAACCCAGCTGTGGCCTTTCTGCGTGGCGTTGCATGCTTTCCCCATGAATGCGTGGGTTTCCTCCAGGTACTCCGGTTTCCTCCACAGTTCACAACATGTCCTATACGTTAACAATTGTACGTCACTTTGGTTGAAAGCATCTGCTAAATTAATCAACATAAACATAAACATTTCCTTCTGGCTTCATGACCATGATTGGCCCTCGGGTTAAAACTCCACCCATTTTGCATTAGTGAGCACGGCTCCAGATTTACAGTTGTATGGGATCACTTAACCCTTCATATTGCAAATTACCAAATGTTTTCAAAGTATTCTTTAAATCTGGTTTAGCAGACTAAACCTGAAACCTAAGAAAACATTTAGTAAATAAAAACATTTGGACAACGTTACATAAAAAAGGTTAGATAGTGAAAAATATAAATAGGCAAGAAAAAAAGTAAATGGAAGAAGAAAAAAGTGTAAAGTAGAAACAAATATATTTAAGTATGAATTAAGTAATTAAAAAATTAATAATTTTAAGAGTAAAACTGCTCAAAAATCTAAGGGAAATCCAAAAAGGTTGAAAGTGTGGACACTATTTTAAAATGTAGTAAATATAAAACAGGAAGTTGAAAAGCATTAAATTATAAACAATGTCTATTAATTCTTTGTTTTTTTAAGGGTCTCCCATCAGCATCCAGTAACAGTAACCCTTAACCCTAACCCACAGCCCCCCCGATTCTAATCTTCATCACCTAAAAACTCAAGTCTTCATCAACACATCAGCTAAATGAGCAGCTGACGGGTTGGGTTTTGTTTCTGACTGGTTCAGTTTGTGGTTTTACAAAGAAGAAAACATTGCTGATTGTGTGGGAAAGGATCTATCTACCAGCCGTGTGTGTTTGACTCATAACCACAAAGTTTAAAAGCTACCAAACATTGTAGATGAAAATGAAGTTAAATGCATACAATTGTAAAATATTTATTTAAAGCACTCCATTTCATTTTACTGACAAATGAATTTACAGAGGGATTTAATAAAATCAGACTTCCAGGTATCATCAAACGCACAGAGAAAAACCTCATCATCAGAACAAGTGAGATCATTTTATTAGTTTGGCTTCTGGTAAAAAAAAAAACAAAAACAAAAAAACGAAGTTTAACTCAGAGTTTTAGAGACAGTCCAACAGCACCCCTCCTACCTACTCATCATGAAGTCTAACAATAGGTACCACTAAGGCAAAAACCTCTGGTCAACAGGAGGCAGCAGCTTTAAACCACAAAGAGCTCTGAGAACTTTACATCCAGAAACCAGAAGAGACCTACGGTGCCCGTCTGGTGACATTGAGATAAAAGCATTTACTCGTGGCCACAAGATTACACAGGTGATGCATCGTTTTCTTTCAGCACCATGGCCAGACGGCCACTGTATATAAGGCGTATCCCTCCTTCTCTGTGGTTGTTTGTAGTGACTGGCTTACTTTCATGCGTTTTTGAATTACTTATTGGTGTATTAGCACGACTGTGTCACGATGCGATGTCGGTGGTGGTGGACCCATGTGTGGTGGAGCTTGACCAGGAGGCAGAAATGCAGCTCAGGTGAAATAAAATGGATTTAATGAATCATGGCAGGTAGGATGAAACCGCAGGAGCAACATAACAGGGTGAAAACACAACGATGATCCGACAAGGGACAAGTGCAGAACAGGGGGTATAAATACACAAGGACAATCAGGAACACATGGGCAGGATAACAAGGGGCAGGTGAGTCCAATAAGCAACTAATTAGGGGTAGACGGGACCAAGAGTCAGAGGGGTCGGAGCAGATCCTGACAGACTATGCATCTGTGAAAATTAAACTGCACAGAGCACCTGTCGCAGGAGTAAGTACATTCATATTTCTGTACTTTATTCAGCTGGTTGAATGGAGAGAAATGCTGTGTCATTTAACTGCTTGGTCAAACATGTTAGAGAGGCTGCATAAGAACCCTGAGTGGGTGTCCAGGTTCTCCCGTCTCCTGTCTGAGAAGAGCAAGCGGCTGGCTCTTCCCGCTTCCCGGGACAGCCAGGGCGGCTCCCAAGCAAGGCTGTAGTCATGCTGGATCTCTGAAAGAGACCACAGAAACACTGCAGCTCTTTTTGTTGACACAGCTTCACTTTTGAGTTGCTCAACTGCATTTTTCTACACGAAAATCTCGGGAAAACTTTGTCAGCGTTGGGTTAGCATGTAGCTAATGTCCCCCTAATCTGCTCCCAGAGAAGGGACCATCAACAACTGCGGACACGTGGATCTTTCACAGCAGTGGACCAGCAAAGCTCGATATCCCCGGTTCATCTTACCTAGTTATGATTTCGTGACTAAGCAGGTCGGAGGTGCCTTTACTTTGGAGTCACTCTACCGCTATTTTCTAGCTGAAAACGTCCGGAAAACTCTGTTAGCTTTGGGTTAGCATGTAGCTAGTGTCTGAATGTAGTTTTGACTTTAGACATGGCGTGAGGGCCGCGCAGGGGTGTCTTTACAGTATGTTTACAAAAAATATGTTTAAAACTCTAGCCTTTTAACATAGCGTAACATTGTTTTTGGATGGTAAAAAGTGCAGGGGACCAAAGTTCACTTTGGAAAAAGTTTGAGTGTGTGTGTGTGTGTGTGCGTGTGAATAGACTGGCTCATCGCACAAGAGCCAGTCTGCCATGTGGGTGAGCTAGCCCTTCTTAGCTTCTTTGACTAGCTAAGTTAGCTAGTAGCTACACTGGTTCATTTGTTTCAACCCTATTCTAAATGGAACAACCCCACCCTCAGCTCCATCTTTTTCCCCATTTTTGGATTGTGTGGAATGACGGGACCTGTGACACGATCAAAATGGCGGTGGTGGGAACCTCCCATTGGGAACAAAAATGTATAAGTCGAGCCTATGGACACAAATAGTCCAGTATATATACACATAAATGATGTGGGCATCAACAAAGCATTTCACCGGTCTCTCTATTAATTCTCAGTTTGCCTCCAACAGTCCCAGTTCACAGCAAAGTCAGACAAGAATGCGAAGCCAGGCGACAGAGAAAAATACACTAAATGGTCAGGGTTTCTAGTTCTCCTAGATCACCGGAGCTGCGCTTTAGCTACAGGTGTTATGAAGGGGAAAGTTAGCCTGCCCCATCACGGGAACGTGCACTGCTAAATACAGCTTCTGGGAGTAAACAACTTGAAGTGAGAGCAACACTGCTACTTTAGAGTATATTCATAATATTAGCACGTCTTTCAGTGCACTTCCCACAAACGTGAAATTCAAAGGATGACTGACGTGTTTTCTTCTTATTTTAATGCTTTGCTGGCAGGCAGATATCAGATCGTTCTCATTATTAGACTTTAAAATCTTGTTTATTGTACATATTCAACAAAATTACGCCTGGGAAACACAATTAGGACACACATTTACCATGAGGTCAAAAACTTGTCCCTACATTGTTTCCTGCTCTGCGAAAACCAAACTTCACACAAGTTATAAAAAGGTAATCTAAACTCAAAATAAGAGCTCTAGTGGGTTTCTGGCATTGTTACCATGAGGTACCAGGAGTCCAAAAGCCTAAAACGGGTGAGACAGCTTTGGGCGGTGCTGGAGGCTGACATCTGAATACAATAAGGTGAAACTTTCATTAAGGCACTTCAGAACGAAAGTGGGGAAAAAATGTGGCATGATGCCCAAAGAAGCACGTGAGTTTGTGGTTTTGTCACATGACTAAAGTTTCGGTCATTAATGAAACAAAAGCATCAAACATAGCTCCGTATAATTCCATATAAAAGTTACACAACAGTGAGATCCTGGTTTTAGGGTTTGTGATCAGAACCCAGGAACGTGTGAGCAGCTCTCTGGAAAACTGTTGCAACCAAGAGCCCCGTCTCCTTGCTGAGACGCCACATCCCAGCAGCCATCTGCACAGCAGCTATTCTCAAAAAATACCAGAGTCCAGTAGAATAAGTTTTAGTGCCAATGTCTGCGTCACAGCCTGCACACACCCTGTGCAAGAGCAGGCTGAACTGCAGGAAAGACGATTGCTCAATAGAATATCTGATTCTCCGCAACGACAGAGAAGCTGTCAGCTTCCTGTTTAACGCTTCATTTTCCATTCAAATCACCAGCAAAGCCATTTATAGATGACAAAGCTGTCTCTCTCTGATACGCACGCACGCACGCGCACACGCACACGCACACACACACACACACACACACACACACCAAAAAGTAGCCATGGTATGTGTGTGTGTGTGTGTGTGTGTGTGTGTGTGTGTGTGTCTATACAGCTCATCCCACCTGTGCCGTTGTAGCAGCAGCAGCAGCAGCGGGCAAGAATCCATCCACAGCAATGCTGGGCTCTTTTCATCCTTACACACACATCTTAACACACAGGTACATATCTACACTCACACACACACATACATTCATTCATCCATAGAACATATACAAGCACACACACACACACAGTCAAACACACTTCAAATTTTATCTGACTGCAATAACAGCAGACCAGCTGAGTGTGTGTGTATGTGTGTGTGTGCAGCTGGAGCGTCCAGTCCACAATGCTGGGATCCAGAGAGAGGAGGCACAGGACATGAGGGAGGAGGAGCCTACGCACTCCCACACAGCCAGAGGCTCAGACATACCGCTTGTCCCTCCCTCAGACACACTTCAGTTCTCTGGAACAGAAGTCTCAGTTAATGACCGAAGACCGGTTCCGTCCGTTGTCTCGTATTCCCGTGCTGTGTGAGGTTTCTAAGCTATAGAAACTTGTCTTTGGCTCTTGGCCCTGATGCTCATGACATACAGCAGATCTCCCTGGTTTACAGAATACCTTTAACAGCTTACAAAGTCAATTTGGTTTATTTATAAAGCGCCAAATCACGACAAGAGTCGTCTCAAGGACCTTCACACAGTAAATATTCCAATCCAGGTCAGTTCATTAAGCCAGTCAGTAAAAAGTTTCCTATATGAGGAACCCAGCAGGTTGCATCGAGTCACTGACTAGTGTCATAGTCTTTACAGTAATCCTTTTACTAAGCAAGCATGTCAGGTTGAAAGAAGAAATGTTTGATGTTATTTAAACCTTTCTGATGCATCAGATGAAGATTTTTGCTAAAAATGGACATATGTTAAAAATCTACATTTTTCTAAAGGTTTTCTGCATTTTCCTCTTTATAAAAGTCGTCACTCAAAGGAAATTGTGATGGTCAGTTCTAAGATGCTTTACTCAAAAATTACGTAGTGCAGGAGTTCTGTTACCTTTGTGTCTGGCTCCTTTTAGCATACCAGTGGTAAAGTTTTCATCAGCATGAACAGAAATTAACTTTTACTTTGCAGCAACAAACTGCATCACATATCCATGGACGCATTACAGCTGTCTAGCCTCCAGGGAAGAAAAACGGGGATTTGTGATGTGCAACCAGTCAAAGAAGCCATAATATCTTTGCTCAAGATCTCAGGCGAGACTCTGAATATCTGCCTTGAATTATGAATGACTTTACAACTTATAGGTTGAAATAATCAAATGTGTTGAATGAACAAGATGTTTGAATCCTAAAATGTTTAAATAATCTGTACATTTAATCAAGGATGTGTTAAAATGATTACTTTTCCTGGAATGATTCATTTCAGATCTGAAGCTACACCAGACCAGTATGTGTTCATTTAACAAGTTCATCTGTCACTATATTCATACACATTATAAGAATTTTATTAATGCTCAACATTCACTTCACATAATGACTTTTTTTAAAAGAACTTATACATTTTCTTTAAAAACTAAATCCATCATCTATGAAATAATATAAATATTAAGAAATAACATGAAATAACTTGTTTGGCCTGGTTTGTTATTTTATTTGAACCCAGTGGCCTCATTTCAGAAGGAAACAGGCTCTGCTGCTGAAAATACTGAAACCATGAAGAATCCCAAACTTCCAATAAAAATGCTGAATCTTTATTTTATATTTGCTGATAAAAAATAATAATAATAATAATAACAACAACACCAGGAGGCTGTGGGCTGGATTAGGATTTATGATAGCTACCTCCCCTTCACTAACCAGCTAACTAACCCTTCCACTACCTGTCCTTTGAGGACATTTTGACTTTTATTCTCCCGTTTTGTCCGTTGTGTCTCTGAGGAGAAGATTAACAAAGCAAATTAAAAAAAAAAACACTACCTCTAAGTTAGACAGTTTTTTTTTCAAGTCACCCTGGTTCATTAAACAGAATAAAGTTCTGGAAGAACTTCTACAGGCCGACACAGCAAAACAATATCGTTATTTCTGTTTGACTGTGCTGAGCTCTCATCTACCTCGTCTCACCCCCACACGTACCCAGCAGCAGCGCAGCAGAGCCCCAATAAGACCCAAACGCTAAAACCAAAATGACCCGACGGAGTTTAAGCACAAAACTCGATTGACATTATTGCAGAACCAACATGTTAGCATTTCTTTTGCACCATGGATGAATGATGATGTTTCACGGTGTTTGGTTTTAGGTGTGTGCGTCCTCATCTCCTCATGTCTCTCTCCCTCCCTCTCTCTGCTTTCCAAGTGCGGCTCATCATCACACTGAAATTATTAATCGACCCAAATCCGACCCGCCCGATGAGCCGTCTGTAGGTCTCTTCCCTTTTATCGTCAAGGGGGAATGGTGAAAAGTTTCAAGGAAGCAGCATCCTGACCAATCACTGGTTTGCGGTCTTAGTCATTTTTGATGGACAATTAAAAGATTGGGCATGTCTCAGTCACCCTCTGTAGGTGTGCTGCAGAGCCCTTAGGAGGATGCAGAATGACGTTGCATGTCTCTACTAGGGTCGTTACTGTGCAGGATAAACCGATGCAACTGGATATACGGTGAGATTTACGGCTGCATCGGTAGCAGCTTCCTCAGTCTATAGGTTGCAGAGTCACGGATCGGCTATTGTGAGACTTTTAATCTGTTGGTGGGTCAATATGGTCAGGGGAGGATCGCGTCGGTTCGGGATCGTACGGGTGGGTTTGGTTCACTTCCTGTGTGTCTTGCTGATGTTAGCATGAATGAATAGCAAATGACAACGCAGAAAATGGAGGTTTCACACTGAAAAGCATCTGCGACGCAAAACGGCAGCAGACTGGTTTACTCGTGAACTTCAAAGTGGTCCATTTCACACAGGGAGAGTCTTGGCAGCAGCACGGCTTCCTCGCAGTGCTCTTCGCTGGACTCGTGAGATCACACGATCCCTCGAAACTTCAGGTCATAGTTGTTTTTGCAATCCACCATTAAAACAAGAAGAACTAAATCCCATTTGATATCTCTGATGTCATATATGATGTTGTTCCTCTCCACCGACAGGATTAAAGCCATGAAAAACACACCGCAGCACTTCAGGAACGATGCTGTGAGTAAATAAGCCCTTGGGTCACACGTGAGCATCGCTGCAGTGCTTTTCTTTTGAAAATTACCAGGGATTTTACCCTGGAACTGTGTGTGATTTCTTGTCTAGCCCTATGTCAACTGCAGAAATTGATGCATCCGTGGATCCCTTAGCGGCGAGGCGTGCTATTTCTGGGAGGGGCCTGGAAATTGCCACATTGCTGCTGGTTGGAAACAGTCCATTGACTATAATGGATTCTATTTGAAGCAGTGACGCTCCGCTGCCGTTTCACGCCACTGACGCTTTAAGTGTGAAACCGGGGTCAGCGATGGAGATGATAACACACCGGGACAGAATTTCAACTCGTCGGGGAAACAAAAATCAAAAGTGTGGACCATTTTTGGGTTTTATAAGAAGGAAGGGAGGCTTGACTGAAGCCAAGTTATTTGTAAACTCGTTGACTTTTACTGGCAGCACTTCCAATCTGGACCAGCGTGCGAGGGAACACACAAGAGTATGGTGAGTACCTTGGCTTTCACAGGTCAAAAAGTAGCAATTATTTTAAATGTATTAGTTTATTTTCCATAATTGTTTCCATAAAGCGCTTGTCACTGTGTTAAGTACTGAGATAAGAAGCTGGTTGCTGCTTTGTCCTTCCACTCTGGCTTCCCCAGCCTCAGGCTACATTTTAAAATGAATGACCACCATCATTATAAGGTTATTGTTACTCGTTTGTTTATATCTGTGTAACTTTTTTATATGATGGTTTACCTCTAGTGTTCAAAACAATAGGCTCAGGCTGAAATATTGCTCTTTATTCTTATTCTGTACTGCTTACCTATTGAGTTTCCAACCAAAGATTCAGTCACTTTTTGTTGGTTCATGTCTAAAATAAATACATTGGCATGTGATTTTGTTATGGAGTTTTTTTGTTGCAAGTGCCATAAAACCATAATGCTTTGGGATATGTGGTCTCTTACATATTTGAAAAGAGAACGTTGTACTGTCACTTTAACAGAACTGGCATCTTTATTTTATAAAATATCTACAAAAATATTAACCGTAGAATAAAATTGTAGCATTTTTACAGTGCAGTTGAATTAAATGCTTTGAATTGAATCGTTTCTGTAATAACAGGATATTGTTTTTAACTTGATTCGCAACCCGTGAAGCTGGATTCATTTTGAATTGTTTATCACAGAGAGATGTGAAACACCACTCTACCTAAGCAGACAACAAAAATAAATCATGAACATGGCAAAGATCCCAGAGCAGCGGCCGGCAATCGTGGTGTCTTACGGCTTGCAATGATTACATTCTGTAACTCCTCCTCCACCTGGGAAGTAAATAGACTCAGGTCATTGTAAATAGTAGACATGAGATGTAGACGCTCCAGTCGTGTATGCTGGAGTTTGGTAGACACATAACGCATACAGGAGAGGGGCAGATAGGAACACTACTTGTACTGTGGCAAGCCTCACGGCTGCCATCTTGGTTGTGGCACTCACTTATGGTACTCTGAGATCTGGAACATCCACTTTAAAACCCAACAGTTAGTATTTCTTACCCTAGCACCTACATTGCCCTTCCTTTTTTACTCTACTGCCTTCTCTCTTTGCCCACTTGCTTATGATTGCATGCGCATGTAGCCCGCATAAAGTTTTAGACACAGCAGTGGCCTATTTTATGTACCATCTACCTTCCCTGCTGATCATAAGGAAGAAACAAGAGAACACACATGCGCACTTAAGCTGCAGGGTTCTGCAGTCTCATGATGAAAACAAAGCAGGCCAAAACACATCAGCAGCAGAGCTACTATAAAACAGTTCAAAAGGAGATTCATTTAGTACAAATTCTCTCAAGGGTGTCAAAATCAGAAATAACGTGTGTGTGTGTGTGTGTGTGTGTGTTGGGGGGGTCATCCTCCTTAAAACGTTTAGTGAAGTAGATGTCATTTCCTTCATTCTAGTGCAATTTAACAGATTATTAGATTATAATTAGGCCAATTGTGATTGTTTTTAAAGTAACTGACGCAAGTGAGCTTTAAAAACAAAATCAAACACCAATGGAATAACATCAATGTCAATAAATAACATGAAATGAAATGTTTGACCTAGTTTTTTTTTGTTTGAACTCGATGGTCTCTTATTTTAGAAATGTGTTGCGCATGAACAGAGTTCTGTTTAACTCATTCACTGACACTAATGACTAAAGTTATCTATTGCGTTTTTTAACAACTTGGGAACAAGCTTGCGCACCTTGAGAGTAAACATCATAGCTCTAAAGTTGATATTCATAAGTGTCACATGTCATGTGATCATGAAACAGACAATCCATGAATTAGGAGATTGGTTTGGGACGCTGCTATGCCTAAAGCGGACATGTTTCTGCAGCTCACACTTCGACAACAGATTGTGAAAGAACAAAAAAGCTAGAAACACACAGATCTTCACTGATGTAAGAACTAAGTCTGCTCTTTCTTTTGGTAGTTTTGGTGTTTACATGGTCATAGAGAACAATGTTCAGTGACTCTTAAAAAAACTGTAAAAATGCTCAAAACGCTGCAGTCAGGGGCTTTCTGTTCAAATAACTAACGGCTGGCAGTGAATGAGTTAATAGAGAAAATCCTAAACTTCCAATATGTGGGATGTTTATGTAATTTTTGCTACCTCTATCTGCTTCCTCTTCAGCACATTCTGAGCTCCTTCAAAGGAATCTCCTACCATCTTTATGCAGATGACATCCAACTGTACATCTCCTTTAAGCCCCATGAAATTTCTAAGCTGCAGCTGTTACACACCTGCTTAGACTCTATCAAAACCTGGATGGCTGGGAGCTTTCTTCAGCTGAATGAAGATAAGACTGAGATCCTCATCTGTGCCCCAGACAAGCTGGTTCCCAAAGTCAGAGACTCTCTTAGTCAGCTTGCTTCTCACACCAAGCCATCTGTCAGGAATCTTGGCATGACCTTTGACCCAGCTCTCACCCTGGATTCTCATGTCAGTTCTCTTGTTTGCTCTTCCTTCTCTCATGTTTCCCTCCCTACAAAAATGACAAAATCAGATGATCTAATTGTTTGAAGAAAGCTTTAGGCAGAAATAGTGGGAGGCATCGAAACAAAAACAGCAATCGGAGCAGGACAATAATCTGGACTGTTTTAATTTGGCCAATTTAAGACTAAGGTAATGAATTCCACCTTCGGAAAGCAGATTTGAACTGGTGATATGGAAGTATATAAAGACGAGAGGAGCTAGCTCAAAATGAATATCAGATTGTTTAATTACAACACCCAAGGGATTTATCGGGAAACTTTCACTCTTAGAAAGATCCATCTTGTAACCAAAGAGACAAACCTATTTAACAAAGACACTATCGGTGGAAAGGTGGATTAACATTTCCTACGTGGCAAATGTGTGTTAGGGGTCCAAACAAGCCATTTTAAAATGGAGGGGGGGGGGGGTCTCATTCTGACACAATGGCGGCAATGCCGGTGAATTCTCTAGCTGTTGTCTGTACTAAGTCAGCTTTAAAAACCACAAAAAAACTGTAAAGACAGTTGGTAAAGGAAATATTCTGTTACACTTTTTGTTCCTTTAATTTTAAATTGTTTCCTTGAACTGGAACTGCAGCCTGGAGACATTCTTGGATGATCTGAACAATGCAGATTAGAGGGATCTGTTCCAAATATCCTTTCACTTCACCTCCAGAGCTTCACGAGAGGACAAGGAGACCTACTTTTATAAAGCAGTCACAAGACAACCCCATTTCCCCACCACACACACACACACACACACACACACACACACACACACACACACACACACACACACACACACACACACACACACACACACACACACACACACACACACACACACACACACACACACACACACACACACACACACACACACACACACACACACACACTAGAGGGGCTCAGTCTGTTCCAACTGTAACATCTATGGGACGACTATAATGGGAAGTGAGACATTGGTAAGTTTGGGGTTCATAAAAAACTAAAAGGCAAATATTTGTTAATTTCAGAAATTTGTAAAAAAAAAAAAATCACACCATTAAAACTGTGTTTGCATTTAATTCACTATATTAATTATATAATAATGTAAAATGTGCCAACTAGATTTAGATTTTTCCACCAGAACAAAAGACTGCTCTTTTTTCCACATTTACAGATTCTGTAATACAATAACAGAGGTGGGCCTAAAGCCATGTTAGACATTCAGGAGGTTTAGCTGCTCTATTTCCATCTGTCCAGAAACAAAAAGTCTGCTTGTCACCACTAACAGCATGAAACCCTGAGGTAGCAGCAGGCAAATCAGCTGATCCTGTAGTGTGTGCGTGCGTGTGTGCGTGCGTGCGTGCGTGCGTGCGTGCGTGTGTGTGTGTGTGTGTGTGTGTGAGAATGGAACTCTTCCACAGTAATACCCTCTAACAGGCTTTAAACAAGGAAACTGGTGCTCATTTTCTATGCTGTATACCTCTTTGATGTGAGCGTCCCATTACTCCGTGCAGCTCGTCTGTCCTGTGGAAGACTGCTGCAGGACTTCATGAAGCCCCACCACCACAGTCCCGAGAAAAGTTGACAAAGGTCAACAGCACCGCCTACAGGCCAGATTGACACATGCTGCCGCCTCTGAATCCGACCTTTATTTCTTTTAGAATCGGAAGTCTTAAAATCTTTGAACGAACAACAAATAGCGATATTAACTAGAGATGCTTGATAATGGCTTTTTTTAACCAACATCCGATATACTGATATTAACCAACTCTTAATTTCCAATCAAACATCAATACAGATGTTGTCGTCCACCTAAAAAAAGAAATACAAATTTAAAGGTTGCTAATATTATATATCATCTATAATATATATTATTCTTTCACATTTATTGACGCAGTGCAGTATTATGTGCACCCTATTTAAATAATAACAGGAAGACCACTCCCCCCGTGTCAACTCCACAACAGAGAAGAAGTTCAGTCTTCTCCATGTTACGATCAGTCTGTCACTCTCACACATTATTGCTGCTCATCTGCTTGCAAGCAACGCGTTTTACTTTCAGTTTTGGGGCAGCTTGTTCATTTTTATTCCTCGGCAGGTGTTTCTCTTCCCAGAAGATACACTGGTGTCCTGCTGACCTGTGGAGGCTTTGTTGAAGGGGAGCCTAGTCCTGAGGTAATAAATGCATGACCTAGTTTTTCAGCTGGAAAGGATGCTTCAAAGTTTTGCAATATTCCTTAGGTGGAAGAAGGAAATCCTACAAAACTGTTTAACGTGGGATTTGAATAGGGATGGGTACCTCTGACATTTGAATCGATAAGGTACCAATTCCTGGTACCTACGAATCGATAACGATACTTAACAGTTTTTGACACTTTTGAGTGTTTAATAATTACTTAAATCGCTTTTTAAATTAAATATACACTCACCTAAAAGATTATTAGGAACACCTGTTCAACTTCTCCTTAATGCTATTATCTAATCAACCAATGACATGGCAGTTGCTTCAATGCATTTAGGGGTGTGGTCCTGGTCAAGACAATCTCCTGAACTCCAAACTGAAGGTCAGAATGACAAAGAAAGGTGATTTAAGCAATTTAAGCGTGGCATGGTTGTTGGTGCCAGACGGGCCGGTCTGAGTATTTCACAATCTGCTCAGTTACTGGGATATTCACCCACAACCATTTCTAAGGTTTACAAACAATGGTGTGATATAGCAAAAACATCCAGTATGTGGCAGTCCTGTGGGCAAAAATGCCTTGTTGATGCTAGAGGTCAGAGGAGAACGGGAGTTTTATAAACTGAAAATTACACTGAAGCAAACATCTTTGCTGTGAACTAAATATACTGTGTATTTTTATTCCTTTTGCAGTTCATTTTCAAACTGTTTATTTTTCCTACTCAGAAGTTGGAATTTCCAAGGAGAAAGCGAACGCACCATTGGCTATGTAAACAAAAACTAAACTATCAAGCTAACGTTATCTTAAACAGTTTGTTTTGCTGCTGGAGCAGATTAAAATGCTGCATACTCAGATCGTTGTCACTGGTTTCATCTTCACCCAATAGCCCATCGCATTTAGTGAAGTGAAACCAAACTTTAAAGCTAACATATCTAAGCTAACATATCAAGCTAACGTTAGCTTAAACATTTTATTTATCTGCCGGAGCAGGCTAAAGTGATGATGATGCCTCACTTAGATTGTTCAATTCAATTCAATTCAAGTTTATTTATATAGCGCCAAATCACGACAAGAGTCGTCTCAAGGCACGTCACATAATAATCATTCCAATTCAGGACAGGTCATTAGGCCAATCAGAAATAATGTTTCCTATATAAGGAACCCAGCAAATTGCATCAAGTCACTGACAAGTGTCAGTGACTATACAGCAGTCCTCATACTAAGCAAGCATAAAGCGACAGTGGAGAGGAAAACTCCCTTTTAACAGGAAGAAACCTCCAGAGAATCCCGGCTCAGTATAAGCAGCCATCCTCCACGACTCACTGGGGATCGAGAAGACAAAGCACGCACGCACACACACGCACACAAACGCGCACACCCACCCACCCACACACACCCACACACCCACACCCACACCCACACCCACACCCACACCCACACACACACACAGACTAGTAATGTGTCTATAGTTATATTGTGATGTCTTAGTAAATATTCTATTTGGTGAAAGATAAACTTTATTGAATTTATCCTATCCTAGATCGTTGTTGCTGGTTTCATCATCAACCAATTACCCATCCCATTTAGTGAAGTTGACCCAAACTTCAGAAAGCTTCTTCTCTGCCATGCTGCTTTGTTTACAGCTCGCCCACAGTGACTGCCGACGTTACGCTCTTGCACCAGCGTGCGGCACGTGTACCGAAAAAAGACACCGTTTCATATGATGTGATTTGGTACTCAGTCGGTACTATGGAATTTGGTCGGTGCCTTGAAAAGTACAGAATTTGGTACCATCCCTAGATTTGAATGACATGTCCTGGTCAAAGATAACACCAAGGTTCCTTACTTTGTTCTCGGGGACTAATTTAATGCCTTTTCTGAAGTTCCGGTCCAAAGATGAGAACTTCAGTCTTGTTTTGATTTAAAAGCATAAAATTTAGAGTCATCCAGTATTTTACGTCTTCAAGACAAGCCTGTAATCTACCTAACCAATTAGGTTCATCAGTGTTAACTGATAAATATAACTTGAGTATCATCAGCAAAACAGTGGAAGTTTATCCCATGCTGTCTAAAGATTTTACCAATTGGAAATACAACCAGGTGCTGGTTATAAATAAGAATATCAGGACGAAGCTGATTTTTTTTTTCATAAATTTCATTCAAAAAGTAAAACTTGTATATTAGATTAATTCATTACACACAGACTGATATATTTCATGTTTTATCTTTAATGTTGGTTATTAAAACTGACAACTAATAAAGTCCCAAATTCAGTATCTAAGAGCATTAGATTATAAATTAAGAATGATGCAAAAAAGGGTTTTTAAAAATGCTAGCCAACTGAAAAGTATGAACATGAAAAGTACGAGCATGTACATAACTCAATATTAGTTGGGACTCCTTTGGCCTGGATTACTGCAGCAATGTGGTGTGGCATGGAGTCCATCAGTCTGTGAAACTGCTCAGGTGTTTTGAGAGCCCGTGTTGCTCTGATAATAGCCTCCAGCTCTTCTGAATTGTTGGGTCTGGCTAAATGCATCTTCCTCTCCACAATACCCCAGGGATTTTCTATGTGTTAAGGTCAGGCTAGTTTGCTGGCTAATCAAGAACTGGGTACAATTAGAAATGCTTCAATCCAACCATGTGACCGGAAACCGGCCCGATCATGTGTTTTTGAAAGGATTGGATTCGAGAGAAATAAATCGGATTTAACCTTTTAAAATAACAAACATGACTTTTTAAATTCATCCTGAGATAGAGATTTTCAAATTGAATAAAAATGGCTTAGTTTTAATTTCAATGAGTTCCTACATTGATAATATGTGTTTCTTGTACAAAAACAACACAGTAACGTCACACAATTTACGGCAGGCAAGGACTCGGACACGAAGTGCTGCTGTTAGCAAGCCTGCTAACACAGAGCTAATGTGTCTCCTGAGAGCTAAAATATCTGCAGCTTGGTGGTATTTTAAACCTGACAGCAAAGGCAGAGATATAGATACTTGTAATGTGTGCAAACGCGCTAGTTTTGCTGTCGGCTTTTTCCTTCGGGCATCAACAAAGCAAATCACCGGTTTCCATTAACCTTCAGTTAACAGCCACAGTTAACAATATAAACAATCTTTTAATTGGTGTACTTCCTAAAAAAATGAAAGTGAAACTTAAAGGACAATTTGGATGTGTTTTCTTCTTATTTTACTTTTCTTATAATTCTTTGCTAAATTATTTTTATTTTTTTCTTATTATTTTAATGCTTTTCTGAAAAGTATCAGATCGGGATTTGGTATCGGCAGATGCTCAAAATCAAATGACTCGGAATCGGAGCAGGAGCAAAATAATGCGATCGGAACAACCCTATGGTCCTTAAACCAGGTACAGGTAATTTTGGCTCTGTGTGCAGGTGCCAAGTTCTGTTGGAAAATGAAATCTGCATCTCCATAAACTTGGTCAGCAGCAGGAAGCATGAAGTGCAATTAAACTTCCTGGTAGACAGCTGTGTTGACCTTGGACCTCAGAAAACACAATGGACCAACACCAGGAGATGACATGACACCCCAAACCATCACTAACTGTAGAAACCTTACACTGGACCTCAAGCAACATGGATCCTG